AAACAACATTTCATCTTATATTTTTCTTGCTGTTATGTATACCCATTACGTGTACGGAGTGTTACGTGCACGTGATTCTCCTCTTCCCTAGGTAGGTATCCCTTCCCCAGGTTTGATTACAGCTGTAGGCGGCTTCACTGTCAATTTTCCGCAGAGATTATACTCGTGGAGATGTCTGAACATTTAGTTGTACCAAGGAGGAGCGCGATTAAAAGACCCTCTCATTCATCATTTAGGGCGTCGACGCCTTTGTCCAATGTGGATCTACTAATGTGCATAACCACTCGACTCTGAATTAAAACATCCTATCCTTCAAATCCCCATCTGAACCCGAGACAAGTCACAACAATCGACCCGTCACTTGATTTTGGACAGGAGATTTTGAATGTACCCCTTATAACTCTCTCCCACTGACAACCCTGGGAGTCTGGACCCCGGCAGGTGTATTTTGTTGCCGCGCCATGCTTGACATGATGGCCAATGTATCGTTGGGATCCACCCCCATGATGCTCAGGGTGGTGAAGCCACTGAAATAGAAGCCTAGGACCACCACGAGGTACGTCAGGACCAGAATACTGCCCTTGAAATAGTTGCTCTTCCCTTCCCCAGACATATAACTGAGCAGGAAGACGCAAAGAATGATCGTTACCATGTCCCATTGCGGGAAGATGAGATTGAAGGTGTGGTCAATGAGGTTTTGCGGGTCAATGAACGGCCAACGCACCGCCGAAAAGAGAACCAAAGCTGGGAGCTGAAGCATGCACACTTGCAATGCATATGCTGATCCAATTTCCATGCTAAGCGCAATGTTCCCATTCATGGCAAATGATATACCATTCAAAAACTCCGTAGTGTTGGGTACCAATGCAAATAAAGTGATGCCCAGGAATTTCTCATCAATGTCGACGGAGTCGAGCACAACATCCACGGTATCGACGAGGATTTCAGCCACGATAGCGTAGGCAACCGTTGCTGTTAGGAGAATGATCGATGATTTTGTCCTGGACCAATTCGGAGCATCGTGGCCACCGCCCTCCACGGCGGGCTGAGCAGCTTGTTCGATCGCAGCGTTTGCATAGCCCTCTTCTGCCGCAGTGTCTCTGCGGACCACGGATGGTTTTTGGGTCTTTGCCGTCTCTAGCTTGTAAGCGTGAGTTGCCTGGTACGACGCAGTCCGAGGATGATGGACGGCGTCTCGAGTGGCAATCGTCGCTGCCGTAGCCGCCATTTCCGCAACCTGCCGAACAAGATTGTTGCTGTCTTCCTCAGATAGTCCAGGCAGCACAGGATGTAGAGTGGGACTTCGGATGTCCTCTGAACCGTGACTCGACTTTGGCGGCACCAGATGCGGCAAGTCACCTTTGTTTTGGTGGTCAATCACCGAGACGTGTGACGCGCTCTCGTGAGAACTATGTTGTTCTCGTTCCATATTAGCATCGCCGTCTGGAAGTCCTGCAGACCGCAGGCTCTGACCCAGAATCTTTTTGTACAATTGAGACTCCCTTATAGCTGATCTAGGAAGATAAGTGCCGTCAAGCCTAGGCAGATTCTGCGAGTTGACTACGCTTTGATGCCGAGTGTCCATCGGACTGACGTCGGCGGTCGGAGGCTGAGCTTTCTTCTCGTCCAGATCGGTGCTCCATATAATAGCAGCATGGGTGCGTAGAGTGAACAGGAGTCCAATGATGTAGGATGAGAAGAGAAAAACAGCAGCAATCCAGCAATATGGCCGAACGGCTTTGAGAAAGAAGTCGTCCGAGACAGCAGGCACCTGTCGGAAATAACATTGTCGGCAATCCGCTGGAATGTCCACACCCTCTGCAGTACATGCTCTACAGATCAGCTCATGACTTCCGTATATCTTGTAGAACAAGGTTGGGCCGAATGCTGCAATGACGGCGAATAGCAACATTGTGGAAGTCGCCCCAGCAGACTTGACGTTGAAGCGTTGAGTTTTCCTCTTTATTGCTCCGAAACACATCGACAGCCCGGGAAGGAGAAGGATGCCGGCGAGGATGCTGCCAATGATGCTTCCCTCCACAAGGGAAGCCTTTCCCTCATTAAGGGCGACGCAGTAAAGGTACACTTCGACAATAGTGGAAAAAAAAGCATTGACCGCAGCACCCATTCCCATCGATGATTGAGCTGAAATAGACGCCACTGCCTGTCCAATGAAATAGGCCAGAGGGATGATGGAGATGAGAGCCAGGGTGAACATGAGTGCCGGACTTGTCAGCCAGATATTCAACCCAGCTGCAATCTTGAGAATGAAGTAGTCGAAAATGACGAAGACAACAATCGCCAGAAAGTTGATAAGGAAGATGTTGGTCCCATCGACTGTGTACTTCCAGTACTTGATCCCGACCGCCCGGTAAGTACACAGTAGAATTGATGAGGGCTTGGTGGAGCTTCTAGCCTGCGAGACATCTCGATGGAAAGTCAGAGCCAACGGTCGCTTTCGTAGGTGATAGAATAAGATGAGGGTGACCCGGCCCATGGGAATCCAGAAAACCATCAACCAACAGACCATCGACACCAGGAGCATCAATGGGGCGACATTGAAGTAGAAGAAGATGAAGAAGATGACTCTACCCAAAGTCCATTGCCCGCGTCCAAACAGTCGTCGCTTGGTTTTTGTGCTCACATTCGTCTCTTGCCGGTCTCCTCTCCCACTCCGGTCTAGAAGGCTATCACTCTCACTTGCAGAGTCGACACTATTTCGATGTCGGCCAACGATGGATCCGGTGTGAGTAAGGGTGGGTCCGAACATAAGTCGACCATACTCCAGATCTCCACTCTGCCATCGTTCGTACTCGCTGATGCTGCGACCTTCGCCTTCGTCTTCCTCGGCATAGTTCTCGTCTTGCTCAAGTTTCACGAATTTTCCAAAGGGCCAGAAAAGGTAGCCAGCTAGACCCAAGAAGACCCCGCCATATGCAGCCGCACTAGGGTCAAAGGCGAATAGGTAGCAGACAAGGGCTCCGAAAAGCGCGGCAACACTCAGCCACCAACCAAACAGGACAGTCCATATGCAGTTGAAGAACCACAACCAGGTGCTCACAATCTGGCTGGGTGAAGAATGAATATCCTCTTCAGCCCCCTTTTCCACCGATCTGGATTTCTTGTATAAGGCGGGTTTCCAAATCCTGATGCCGAATGGATGTGTTTCGTTAATGGCCAACTGTCGATCTTTCAACGTGAAGCTCTCAGCATCACTCAGATCCGCGTCCTCGGAGTCTCCGAGTTCTCCACCTTCTTCACAGCCATCGGTTTCCTCCGCTGGCAGCGCAGCAGCCTCCTGTTGAACCATATCCTCTGCCTCCTCTTCTGCGGAATCGACACGCGGTAACTGCGGCGGTGCAACCGCAGTTCGCCGACGAACGGTGGATTGTGAACGGGTCACAGACGGAAAGGTCTGCGTGCTTGGTGTTGTTTGGAGCTCTCTGTCTACCTCGACCTCGTCAGGGTCATCGTCCACAGAGAAGAGTTCGCCCCGATGGGGTAATTGTTTCCGAGTCGAGATCCTTCTCATAGGAGGAGGCTTTCGTGTCCTCGTCGCCTGTGGTGATAACGGGGGCAATGCAGAAGCCTCTTGGGCCTCGTCAGTTCGATATCCGCTGCGTGGTCTCTGGCTGCTCGAGGCATGGACGCCGCTGCTTAGGGTCCCTGTTTGGATTTAGCAGGTCGATTCATTACACTTAAGAAAGCCTGAACTCACCATAATCTCGTCGAATTGTGGTATCTGCTGCTGGTGGCTCGTCTCGAGATCTGGAGTCCGCTACTCCGGAACCGGCGACTGAAGGAGGCCTAGGCGTAGACTGGGAATCTTGCACAACCCTATCATCGGAGTTCTTGTGTGGATCGTCACTGGACGACATTCTGGCTGATACTTTTCTTTCATCGAGTTCTTCAAATTACCACCATAACTCGGGAAGGGCTGGGTTGAAGGACTGCGCTATGAAGCCGACACAGCTTTCGTAGACAGACAGGCGGGTCGATGCCTGGTCAAGGCACGTGGATGCATCAAGTAGGGCACGGGTACTTCAAATCATATGATGTGTTGATGACGGTGTCTATCTCTGATGGAGGAGCAAGGGAGATCGAGGTGTTGAGGGGGAAAGGAACGAGCGAGGGGATTCTGAATCGAATCAGGTATTGATAGCAGAGCGAAGGGAGTCGGTCTATGGATGGCGACTGGTTACAATGTTAGTGATGCTTTAACGATATGGGGTATTGTGGTGTAGGGCGACGAAAACCAGTGCGCCAGCCGACACGCCAATTGGCGCACGTGCCAGAGCCAGCAGCAAGTAGGATAGACGGGAAGAAGAAGCTGCTGCCAGAAACTTGGAGAACACGAACCTCGTCTAACCTTGGTCAGGTGTCAGTTACAGGTCGCACACAAGGAAATAGCTGGGAGCAGCTGCAGACTGAGCTCATACCAAAGTCTTGACAAGCAATGGGTGCGAAGTTGGTGGGCCGAGGATGCCTTGCTGCGGTGCTTGTGCTGTGCTACTGGTGCTCAAAGCTGGGTCGGATCTCCGCCGGAGTCAGGCGCCCCAGGCGGGACCGCCGTCATCTCCCGAAAGCACCGAAGTCAGTGCCTAGTGAGCCTAAAACAGAGGAGCTAGAGGCACCCCAGTGGCACCAAGGCACTTGAGAAGGGGCCTGTACTTGTTACTTGTACTGTAAGTGAGCTTAGTAGCCTCAGCTGGCATTGAACCGCCTAGCCTGCTACTGTACATAGCCCTTGTGGCAACCGAATCTCCTGTCCTCCTTTAGCCGCGTTAGGCGCCGCCCAGGAGTAGCCGCCGCCTCAGGCTCCCAAGCGCAGTCGCGTCCACATCATTCCATCCATTCTTTTTACCACCACCATTGCCATCAAGCACGTCCACAAAGTTTCCGCCATCTAGACACTTTGATCTCTCCTTTTAGTGACCTTTCGAATTCAGAAACACAGATTCCCTATCCGCCACCCTACGTCCTTGTAACGGCCTCTTATCATGGCGCTCGACAACTTTTACCACAACAAAATCGAAGCTCTCAAGCTGGAGATCCTCCAAGGTCAAGCGGTGCTGCGCCGGTTAGAAGCACAACGGAATGACTATAACTCAAGAGTGCGGCTGCTGCGAGAAGAGCTGGGCCTGCTGCAACAGCCCGGCTCTTATGTTGGCGAAGTCGTCAAGGTGATGGGGACCAAGAAGGTGCTGGTAAAGGTACATCCGGAAGGCAAATATGGTGAGTCGTGACGATAGATGGTCAGGCATCAAGTTTAGGGCTGACGATTTGATAGTTGTCGATATCGCCGACAGCGTCGACATTGCCAAACTGACCGTCGGCAAGCGAGTCTCCCTTCTCTCCGATTCGTACAAACTCGAAAAGATACTCCCTTCATCCGTCGATCCTCTAGTTTCTCTGATGATGGTCGAAAAGGTTCCGGACAGCACATACGACATGATCGGTGGACTCGATCAACAAATCAAAGAGATCAAGGAAGTCATCGAGCTGGGCCTGAACCACCCGGAACTCTTTGAATCACTCGGAATCGCTCAACCAAAGGGAGTCCTTCTCTATGGCCCGCCAGGAACAGGCAAGACGCTCTTGGCGAGAGCCGTTGCGCATCATGCCGACTGCAAATTCATCAGAGTGTCCGGATCTGAATTGGTACAGAAATACATTGGTGAAGGGAGCAGAATGGTGCGAGAACTTTTCGTCATGGCAAGAGAACACGCACCCAGCATCATCTTCATGGACGAAATCGACAGCATAGGCTCCAGCCGTATAGAAGGAAGCGCCGGTGGAGACTCAGAGGTACAGCGGACCATGTTGGAACTGCTGAACCAGCTAGATGGCTTTGAACCGACCAATAACATAAAAGTCATCATGGCCACAAATCGACTTGATATCTTGGATCCTGCGCTCCTCCGACCAGGTCGCATCGATCGCAAGATTGAGTTCCCACCGCCAACTGTCGAGGCAAGAGCCGATATTCTACGGATTCACTCCCGGAGCATGAACCTAACCAGAGGTATTGACCTGACTAAGATTGCAGAGAAAATGAACGGTTGCTCCGGCGCAGAACTCAAGGGTGTGTGTACAGAGGCCGGCATGTTCGCCTTGCGAGAAAGAAGAGTCCATGTCACACAAGAAGATTTTGACTTGGCAACGGCCAAAGTCCTGAACAAGCATGATGATAAGGAGGTGTCACTGGGCAAGTTATGGAAGTGAATTTCATGCTGTGTTCATGTTGGGTCTCCGCCGCCTCTGCATAGCGTCAGGTGTAATATTAGCGGGACAATCAGAAAGGAAAGGATAGAGATTTCGAGGAGGCCGCAAAATCCGAGCTGTCGATTTGCCGCCTTGAAATCTAAAATGCTTCTTGTCTATGTTCTATTGCCGTCGCCTTCGTCCCGTATCACATGCAGAACCCTTCAGTGGGGCTCATTCTTTGCGGACGATACATGCCAGAATTCGTTGATCTAGGATCCAGACTTTGGATCTTCCCAACTCCCCAACTCAGTGCTCATACTCCATCCGGCCCTTAATAAACCCCCAGAACTCCTGGACCAACTCCTTTTGGCCCCTCTCAGCAGCACGCACGGCGAGATACTTCCTGTGGTCGACGGGAATGTACCATGCTCCAGAGGGGTTGCCGTCGACAATGAGGCCGCCGGCCTCGGTGAGCACGACCCAGCCGGCGCAGACGTCCCAGGCCCAGCAGCCGCCCTCCCAGTAGACGTCGATGGAGCCCTCTGCGACGGCGCACAGGTTGAGGGCTGCAGAGCCTAGCGCGCGGGCCGAGTGGACCATGGCACCGCCCTCGTCCTTGCTGGCGCCCAGGGCTGCCCAGGTGGCCGTCTTGGTACGCCAGTTCGCGCCGCTGCGGTCGCTGCCGTACTCGATGGCGACGACGCACTCGTCCAGACCGGCCACCGCAGAGGGGTGTCGAAGCGGCAGCTTCGTATCCTCCGCTGCCTTCTCGCCGCCGTTCTCTGCCACGTCCCGGACGTCCCGTACATAGCTGCCCCGGCCCTTGATCCCGTGGTACAGCTTGCCAGTGAAGGGGTTGTACACCACGCCCACCGTCGGTTCGCGGTCCACCGCAAAGCCCAAGCTCACACTCACGTAGGGCCAGCCGTGCACGAAGTTCGTGGTCCCGTCGATGGGGTCGACGATGAAAGTCGGCTCGGGCCCGAGCTTGTTGCCCGGCACGTACGTCTCCTCGCCCATGAAGCTGCACGACGGGTACCACTGCTTCAGGGTGCTGGAGATGTAATCCTCCACGGCTTTGTCTGTCTCGGTGACGAGGTCGGCCGAGTTTTTCTTTGTGGATGCGGCCGCTGACTGCGTGGTTGTGCCGGTGGTGTTCCTAGACGCCGAGGAGGCGGATGTTATCATGGAGCCGGCCTGGAGAGCGATGGCGATGAGATTATCCCTCAGAGCAACGAGCTCGATGTCGTCCATATTTGGGTGGAATGTGCCCCGTTGTATTTATTCTGTTTTTAGCGACTTAATACTGGTTGAGTGGAAGATGGGTTGGGAGACGGGTTTGTCTATATTTTCGTTCCATTTGGTTTTTTAATTTTGGGGTGTTTCCGTGTTGGACAGGCGGTTTCAAGATCATGAAACGTCGATTCTCCAATGAGGCCAGAGGCCTGTGCCACGGTGGCTGTCATTGGTTCCTTGATGCCCCTTGACTTCGCCGAGTTACAAGTACATATCTACTCGGTATGAAATGGCTTGAGCTATCCCTAGGTAGGTACTGTGGTGTCCCCAACCCGTACAATCATGGCCTTTGGTCTCGCTGAGTGAAAAAACTTGCTAGATCAAGAGGAATGAGGAGGTCGCAACTCTACGAGTTGTCGTTCTTTTAACAAATCTGACGCAACTAGCTCCCTGGCGACTATTTCTTGTATAAGACATCGTCGTCTATAATCAGCTCGATAGGTATGTACAGTGTTCGGCCTTCGGCTGTTGTTTGACAGAGTTTGAAAACAAAAGTATATCTACAGAATATTCATCGCTTGCTCGTTCATCATAGTCAGACACGATATCGCAGAGGGGAAAAAAGGAGAAAAAGAAAGAGTCGTTGTGGTCATGAGACCATCCCCTCCGGCGATACCTGGTTCGACCGGGCATCCTGGTATCTTGCCTCAGCATCGCCGGATGAGTCGCTTGCCTCTGATATTTCACTGAGATTTCTGGCATGCTGTCCGACGGGCATTGGTATCGCCATTCCAATTGATGAAGCTCCCTGACCGCCTATCCGCGCTGCGTCCCAGTCCAACGGTTTCCTTCTGATGCTAGGAAATTGTCTCTGGGGATTTCGGAATCCAAAGGACAAGGGACGCACCAACTGCTCCACCTCACCCATACCCAGACCATCCAGACCCCGCCCGTTTTGTTGACGCATGCCGAAGGCAAGAACGGGGTCGTCGAGCGCACGTCGGTACGCAGATCGCTCAAGTCTTTCCTGGCGCCAGGCCGAGTACCTTTCACGGATGGGTTTGCAGAAGCGGAAGAGAAGAAACAGAATGGCGGCCAACGCCAGGACCGGGAGAATGACTGCCGCGGCAATCTCTCCTGGTGACAGATCTGTCCCACCTGCTGAATTGGCTGATGTTGAATCTGACCCTGAACCTCCTCCTGATCCTGATCCTGAACTTGACCCAGGACCAGAACTTGTACTAGTGCGTGATGATCCAATGCTTTCGGTGGTTGTGGGAACTACGCCAATAGGATCACCGGTTGAGCTTGGCGAAGTAGCAAGGAGACTCGTAGGCGCTGTTGTTGTTGCGCTGAGGAGGGCAGAGTTCGAAGATGGGGTCGTAGGTGAGACACCTCCTGTGGACAGCTGGCTACCAGTGGCGGAGACTGTTATGCTTCCTGTACCCTTGTTTGTCGTGCTCAAAGGTGCATCTGAAGATACGAGATTGCTCTGAGCGGTGCTTGCTTGACCAGAGGCTGCCGATGAGCGTCCTGAAGGAGTTGAGGAAGCAGAAGGGTTTGTTTGTGTTTGCTTGGCCGACTCTATCCCAGATAACGCCGTCGTGAAGCCGAGCAGCTCGCTTGCGACGCTTTTTAGAGGATCTAGAGGATTGGATATATCTCGAGGATGTAGAGGAATCGCTCTCACAGCGCAAAGAGAGGCAAGAAGACTAAGAAGAAATTCCACTCGGCACATTCTTCCGTCCGCCGAGATTCGCCTTCGAACTCCCTTCAATGTTGTTGACGTTGGGTCAGAGGATCTGCGTAATCCTTGAAATGCAAAGGCCGAGAGGTTCAAAGAGAAAGCACAAAGCACACAGCGGATCGAACACAATGCGAGAATACTAGTAGACAAGGAAGCTAGGGATGAACTCACCTATTGGGCGCCTTCTTGTCATTAGATACTTCCTCACATTAGGATGCCGCGTGCCTGCATTAGGCTTACCAGTAGGCTGTATGCGCAAGCGAATCCATCGCGCGGGGGCTGAGTAGCCGCGATGCTTGCACCAATGCCCGTGCGTGAGGCGTTCGCCAAACCACAAGCGTTTCAGGAATTTATAGCAAGGCAGAACACCCGTTGGTGTTCAGGATCGGAGCCAAAGCTCGGGCGAGCACCGCGGAAGGTGCTGTTTGATCCGGGACCCTTGATATGTGGTTTCTCTCCACCCAGTGGTTCCGTTGTTGAGGCGGTTGATCCTGTCGAAGGCGAGATGAAACTCGGGCCTGATTGAAGGGGAGATAGGTGCCCAACAAACAATATGACTTCTTTCGGTGGTAGAGGCCCAGTCACCATGCGGGTGGACAGCAGAGAAGAAAGAAGCTGCTGATGATTCTTCCTGACCCTTGCAGATGGGGAACGATTGGAGAAAACGAGGAAGATAACAAGCTCAGAAGTGGTATAGTGTGGTATAAGTAAGGCCAGCCTCGGCAGGGGATCTGCCTGCGCCCCAATTCCAAGCAGTGGTCGCAGTGAGAACTTACTTCGACTCATTCCAAATTCTGCATTGACAGCTCTCGTGCTTCCCTAACGAGCTATGCGGCTTGTTGCCCATGCAGGAAGCTGTTACGTCCGCTATCATACAAATGCATCAGCTTGTTGCCAGGTGAACAAATTGCGACCCAGCTTCACACCGAAGCCTTTCCTTCATCCTGCTAGGCTGGCCTCATTTCCGCGAAGGAACTTGTCCCTCTCCTCGAGGGATCCAATCACAATCTCCGATGACCGCCAGACCATCACATTGCGTCTGAAGAACGAGGAGACAATCACGCAGAAGATTTCGCCGACTCCGAAAGCGAACTGTGACAAGCTTGCAAATGCCCTTGCCTCTTTGCTTTCAACGCCAGAGACCCCCGAGGCGGGAGATCTTTCGCTGAAGCACTCGCCGGGCTTGTCATTTGGCACGACACAATGGCAACTCGATCCTCTAGGCGATGCGATACATCGGCACACGGCTCATCCTTCGGCCAGGGAGTGTGAACAGGTGGAAGAGCTGATCATGAGCGAAGCTGACAAAATGAACCACCATCCACATATCACTCGTGGAACAATTGATGGAGAAGATAAATACATGACCATTACATGTACATCCCACAGTCCTCGGGGTCTGAGCATTCGAGATACCAGATTGGCCAACAAGATCAACGCGACCCTCGATGCGTTCAATGTCACAGAACCCATAACCCCAGATGACACGCGAGATCTGGATGAGGTCAAGAAATACTTCGCCGCACACCGTGAACGGATGATTGCCCTCAACCGACAGCAAATCTCCGAAGCCATAGAAAGTTGCTCCTGCGGTTCGGCCAAAACCAAGTCTACAACTTCCTCGCAAACTTCGGCCCCATGAAACCGAGACAAATGACGAACTTCTGGGTCACTATAAATACTCTCAACCGAAAGGAAACACTTGGAGGACCAGAAAGAGACCGCAAAGGAAGTTTCGAATTTTCTCTTTTCATCACCATCCAAAAGTTAACAGAGAGTGAGTGCAATGTCAAGTTTGAGCAGAGCAATATCAGTGTTTTGTTCAGTTCTTGGAGAAGCTAGCCATCCCACACTATCCATGAATACGAAGCCTGTCCAGTTACCACCCCTATTCGATGCAATCCAACGCCATCCATGCATGACTCTATTCTGTGCACTCTTCGCTTTTCAAGGTGGACTCGACCGGATTATGTGCAGCGAAGCCCGGTCGCAGCTTCTTTCTAACGCGTTCCGTCCCCGGAGATCGAGTACACGATTCTATTGGCTTTTGCCTTCGACGGCCTTCCTTTCTTTCTTCTTCGCGTCTTGGGAAGAACTTCCGATATCAGTTCCCAATGCTGCATCCCACCATCGGAAAGAACTGGCGTAATTCCCCAGGAACTTCTCGTGATGCACGTCGTGATGGTCCGCTCCCGCCCAGAAGGGCAAGAAGTGATGTAGCGACCAGGGAAACTCGTACCCGGAGTGCGCGTCAATGGCTTGAAAAAGTCGGCCCACAATCCAGAGGTACATCGTGACGATATGAAGGTTCTTGGTGAACGCGCAAAAGACAATAGGGATTCCGACGGTGCCGAATGCAAGAATCATGGTTTCCAGCGGCGAGGCGTATTCAGCGGCAAGACCAAAGGGTGCGCTGTACTGGTGATGCAACTTGTGGATCATCTTGTAGAGTCGAGGCAAGTGGAGGACTCGGTGGAACCAATAGTGCCATGCATCTTCGAGGACGAAGAACAACGCGACTTGCCAGGCCATTGTGTGCCAGGGAGGAAAGGGAACAGACGTGGTCAAGCCGAAGTATTGAGCCATGGGATGGAAGAGCCAGATTTGAGGGAGTTCGACGGTGAAGTGGGAGAGGAGCACCAACTTGGCGCAGGCCCATTGTTCGGCAAGGGTGGGCATTTTATTCTATACCAGTCTCGCGTCAGCAATCCGAAGATGATGGAACTGGCGTCCCTGGGAAATACGAGAACTTACCGCCTGGATCTTATACCTTCTGAAATAGGGGATCTTGTCCATAATCATAAACGGCACACACCTCCCAAAGTACACAACCTCATGTATGGCAAAGCTCATAATGCCCGTCGCCAACACATCGTTCTGCATGTATGCGTACCATGCTGCCCAAAGTTTTTCAAAGATGTTCAGGTGCACGTTGTATGCAGCGATATCGTTGAAGTAGTCCGTGTAAGTGACGGGCGCGGCGTAGCTTGTGGCATTCCTAAGGAGGGAGACATGTTAGGTCGGCCAAGTTCGCTGCATCCGGGGGGGATTTTTTTTTTTGAAATGGGATTTTCGGAATGACCATACATCTTGACAAGGGATTGAATCCCGACAGCAATGGAGTGTGAGGTGCGAAAAGTGACAGAAAGAGTGAGAGCTCAAGGACAAACTGAGGTCAAAGAGAAAAACGAGAATTGAAAAGCCTTCAATCAACAATTTGAATATCGCGTTGGACGAACCCAGGATCAGTGGTTTGTTCCGGAAGCCTTTTCTTTGATTGGCAAGGTGGACGCGCAAGGAGATTTTATTGGGCGCTGTCGAGGTGGCATCACTCGGGCTTGCAGGCGGCCCTGGAGCTTCCGGGGGGGTACCTCGTACCACAGTCCCTGTGGGTAAGCGATGGTGGTGGACTGACGCAGACAATCGTAGGGAGCCAGCCGTGCTTAGGCGGTGAGTGGTGGACTTGGAGCGTGGCGTGTTCAAGCCTTCAAGGGGTCAATCTCGTCGGCTTTGTACCTGATCCATGCGAGATGCAGGTGCCGAAATCTCGCCATCCATCAGGTGAGAGGGCCGAGGTGGGCAAATTAGCTGGCAAACAGTTCAAATTGTGCAAATTGTGCAAATAGAGCAAACAGACCAAACAGAGCAAATAAAGGAGATCAGCTCTATCGGCCTAAAGTTCTTCCTGTCCCGGGATACCGAAAAGGCAAGGCTGTGCAAGTTAACTACCAAGCGGAGCTAGGTACATAGTATCGCACGAAAGACCTATCCTCTGTCTTCTCCTTGTGATTCAGCCGTTCGAGGCTTACCTGCTGCTCCGGGAGCGCTCCCTGACGGCGCCGAAGTCTGCCTAAGGATTTCTAAGCTTCCCTCTTCCTCTTTATTCACGCCACAAACTTTGATTAACTTTAGACGACGGGATCCGTTTGAGATCCTGGAGGCGTTTCCAATTTGGCCCTCTTTCTAATGCGCTCGAACTGCTCGGTTTGGCCGCTCCTATGGTGCTCTCTTGGACAGAAATATAGTCGCTCAGTTTTCAGACTGATTGTAGCAAGCTCAATATGGGTGCTCGTGCCTACGATGCGGCCAGGTCACAAATCATTACCGGCGATCCTGAAAAGAGTCCACAGAACCCTGATGTGATTGGGAAAGCTGCCGCTGCGATCGCGTCTACAGAGAAATGTTGCAATGGATCTCCGCCTCCCAAACGTTTTTCCATAGACCTCTCAATGCAACATCTATCCTGATGGCGGTAAAAGCGCATGGCTCATTCTATTTGGCATTTTCAGCGCTTTCTTCGCTGCCTTGGCTCTGATGCATTCCCTTGCAACATACCAGGCATGGCTTCAGACTCATCAGCTGTCTCATCCGTGTCCTGCGACGACAGGCCGGATTTTCGATTTTACAACTTCGTCGCGTTCTTCGCCGGCGTCCAGATTGGCCCTTAGTTTGATGCACATGGACCACGCCATTTGACCTTTATCGGCTCGGTCGGCTTGCTCCTTTCCTGCCTGATAGGCTTTTGTATACAGATGTAGCACTTCTTCCAAGTTCTGGAGTGCTCAGTGGCATTTCGACCAGCTTGGTCCTCACTGCCGCCATCTGCACGGTTCAGCACTGGTTCTTTCCCCGACGAGGACTCGTCACCGGACTCGCCACCGGACTAGCGGTGTCGGGTTGTAGTCTTTCTGGCCTTGTATTGCCGTCAATCCTCGAAGCTTTGCTGTCCAAGACTGGGTTTGCTTGGACAACAAGAGTGAAAGTGCTCATCCTCCTTCCCTTCACAACCGCGGCTTTTTTGCTCTTGAGGGCAGGGTTCTCTTCGCCAATGACCAAGCGATTCGTGCTCCCGGATTCGGGAATGCTTCTTTACCCCAAGATTGCGATCATGGCGGTGAGCATATTTTTTTTTTCTTTTTCTTTTTCTTTTCATTTTTTTAACGGTCGTATCACACAATAGCAAAGGAACAATAGGTCAAATTTGCTGAAGAACGCAGGCGGCGTCTTGCTGCTAGTCGTTGAGCCGATCTGGCGGTGTACGAGTGTAGGTTTGCAGGAAGCGAATATAGAAACTACCTCCGTTATGCTGTATAGTTGCTTTGGTGAGTGTATTCTCTATGCTCTGACGGAGCATTCTTCAATGGCTGCTCTCCTTTACGGAGAATTGGGGTGAAACAAATGTATACATCGTCTATTTTGCTAAAACTGTTTCTCCCGGCTTTGCTGTCGAGTCCTCAACCTTCAGATTTTTGTAGATTCACCTTGGATACTTATGCACATGCAAAAACAAGATGACTCTCTCGCTGTCCGCAATCACCGCCGTCTATTCTACCGGACCGCTAAATCTCTGACCGTCAAAAGAGAGCCCGTTGAAAGATGTCCGATGTTTTAAGCGCAAAGTTCATAGGACCGTACACCATGGGAAAGTGGGCAGACATGCACCCCGATACCGATGTGTGAAATGACTCGTCCGCGCAGTGTTTGTTGCCATCGTTGCACTAGCGGCTTCGAATCCCTCGGAAGAACGACTTCTCCCTGTTTTTGGTATCCGCAGAACCCGCTCTTCGCTTTAGCGACCCTGGGAACGGAAGGTCCCTGTGCCCGGGAATATCTGAGACCTAGCACGTTTCCTGCAAGTTGCACGGCTGTCGCCCACAACGGCGACCCGTAGGTTGCATGGAAGTGGTGTTTTCTAAGTGTCATAGTTTAATACCGTACGACGCCGTCCCGTAGCACAAGCCAGAGCGTAGAAATACCGAGTACTTTGGCGTTTCACGGCGAATTCGGAAGACTATATGAACTCTGCAGTCTTCCTGTAGGTCGCTTTAAACAGTCTTCACTAGATCCTCGTCCAACTAAACATAGGTCGAGTTCCCGCCAAAATCGACAAGCTACACACGGGCGGCCTTGACACGGCTCGATGGGTCAGGTGGCGTCATGGGGGTTAGTGGTCTGAGTCTTGTCTGGTTAGTGGCCTACAGGAGTTGGTCCGAAGCGGCCCGACCCGCTATTCCTAGAGCGGGTCGAGTCGTTGAGCGAAGCTTAACTACTTGGTACACAAGTACTTGGTACACCGAAGACGAGGCAGAGGCAGTTACTCAGTCACGTTTCACATTTTAGCCGTTGGCGCCTATGTCTTGGCACTGCAGAATACGCTCAGCACCGTCCATGAAAAAGTCATCTGCCAATAGAGAGATTTCTCTTCGGTATTCAATCAATCAATCAAGTTATCGGGCCTTTCTTAGCCCACCAACCATCGTGTACATACTCTGTACAAGTCCTCTTCCCATTGATGGACGTTACAACGATAAGCAACAGGCGATCTGAATGGTTTCGGCCGTGAAGGGAGAATCTGGCTGGTAAGCCGGTGATTAAAATAGTGGCACTATGGGATAATGACTTCTTCCCTGATCGACTTTGTCCTGCGTAAGCCGCCAATAATTTTGCAAGGAACGTCTGCCGTACTCTGTTCTAGAAGGTAATCCGCTCTCAAGTCGTGCGCGATTCAATGATGCCAAAAACCGTGCAGCACAGACTCAGAAAATAAGTAATGTCGCAATCGTTCTCGCTAACTGCTAATACCGAGTACATGCACCTGGTCCGTTTAGTCGGGCTCCGATGGCAGCTTTGCATGAGCTCTCCACCCACGTGCCAACCCGCGTGCTGGGACCGATCAAGCTGCCGGTATTACCGTCTCGAGACACACGATTTGGGGAACTTTGGGCGGACGGCCTGTCAGAGACGAAAGCACATGTTCATTTCTTTGAATATAGTTGGGCGGCACTATATTTGTACCTAGTGGAAGCTTGTCGTGCTTGCGATGCTTGTCTTCTGATACATAAAGGAGCAGCTCGAATGTCGAGAAGTAATTCGAGACCAACCTGGAGTCTAGAAGCTCTCGACTTGACTTGCTGTCTACCTCGAGAGAAGAACCTCCGACTTGGTTGCTTGTTTCGTATGTGAGAGGACTCGACCAGTCAAAAGATGAAGCTCACCCCACTCGTCTCGGTGCTACTGGCCCAGGCCATTGAGGCCGCCCCTCAACATGTCACTGCCTTATCCAATGTTGGTGCTACAACGTCAGATGTCTACCCTCCGGCAGCCAGTAGGTCATATCTGCCCCTAGTATGTACAAGGAGTTGAACACGCCTCTTTAGCATCCGTCAACTCGGCTCAGTTCCCACCCGAACCAGTGGTCCAATTCCCTGGGCCAACGCAGACTGGCCTTGAGCCAGCCGTGGCCCAGACGGCGCCCCTTTACCCATATAACACGCAAGGCGCCGCGGCATTCCCTCTGGTTGCTCCTCAGCCTCGAGGCTCTAATTCGAGCTCCAAAGTCGACATTACTCGCTATTGGGGTAACTTGTCACCATGGTATTCACTGTCTTCCGCCGATTACGGATTGCCCAATGCAAGCCCCCTTATTCCTGCTGGCTGCTCCATCAATCAGGTTCACCTCTTGTACCGCCACGGTGCACGGTACCCTACCAGCGGCGCTGCACCTGCGACGTTTGCTGCTAAGCTTGCAAATGCCACCAAGGGTGCCGGTTTTCAAGTTTCGGGCGAGCTGGCTTTCTTGTCCGACTGGACTTACAAGCTGGGTGCTGAGCTTTTGACTCCCTTTGGACGCAGCCAAAACTTCCTTCTCGGTGTCTCATACCGGCAACTGTATGGCGAATTGTTGAATAACTTCACCGCTCAGGGTGCTCTCCCTGTTTTCCGAACTGAATCTCAGGACCGCATGGTCAAGACCGCCGAGAACTTTGCGGCTGGTTTCTTTGGTGTTCCTGAGTATTTGAACCAGGTCAACATTGAGATACTTGTCGAGAATTCTGGTGTCAACAACTCCGGCGCCCCTTATGAGGTCTGCAACAACTCCAACATCGCCAGTCGTGGAAGCATTGGCACGACTGTCGCGAACAAATTCGCCAACAACGCTTTCAATTCCACCCTAGCCCGGTTGAACTCCCAGGTAAAACTCTCCATGCCTTATCGCCCACGTAGCTAATCGTCAAGATGTAGGTCTCCGGTAATCTAACCTTCACACCCACCGACGCTATTGCTATGCTTCAGCTCTGCTCGTACGAGACTGATGCACTTGGCTATTCTGCCTTCTGCGGTCTCTTTACGCAGGAAGACTTTCAAAACTACGAATACTACTATGATTTGGTGAGCTCATTCAACCAATGATTTAAATCCGGCGGTTGACTCTTTAGTCTTTCTACTACAACAACGGCCCAGGTTCCCCAGTTGCTGCAGCTCAAGGCAAAGGCTACCTCGAGGAGTTCGTTGCTAGATTTACTCAGACCTATCCTGCAGCGCTCGCTGCTCTCAACGAGACATTCGACGACACACCGACGTATTTCCCACTCAATCAGTCCATCTACGCCGACGCTACTCATGAGGTGGTTGTTCTCGATACACTCACGGCATTCAACCTAACTGCGCTATTCAATGGCCCTGCTCTTAACACCAGCACTAACCAAGGGCGTAACAACTTTGTTGCCAGCAAGCTTGTACCGTTTGCCACTCACTTTACTACTCAAGTGCTTGAGTGCCCCGCCTTAATCCCGTCTAAGCAGATCCGTTTCATCGTGTAAGTCTCCTACCTCCTTCTCGCGGCTAACACATGCTAATTGAGTTAGCAACGACGCAGTTATTCCAGTCTCGGACTCCCATCCCGGCTGCCCTGTTGACCCCAATGGTCTATGTCCCTTTGATACCATGGTCAATGTGCTGAAACAGCGAATTAACGAGATCGACTTCAACTACGATTGTTTTGCCAATTACACTGCTTCGGCGGGCGTTAATTACAATGGTCGTGCGCCCCGTAATGCAACATCATAATGTAATCAATATTCGAAACCCTGTTTTATGATATACACGACAGCATCGGTGGCTCGGGACGTGCCGATGGGTTATTAGCCAGTGGCAACTGACCGAGATACCCCGTACATAGTGTGATTAATGAGATCAAGTTCTGGAGTTCTCTAGAACTCTGCGACACCACTTTTCAAGGCCAGTATGAGCGAGAAGTACTTCGAATTTGAGCACATAACAACAATAAGTGAATCCATTCAGGAGTCTTTCCATAGCATTCGTCTTGAAGTCCAAATGAGAAGCTACGTTCACCTACACATAATCTTTCTCCCAACAATCTGATTCCGTCAATTCGCGGATAAATACTTCTTTTGGATATTATGGCCGTCGAGCTGTGCCGCTTCAATCTTAAGCTCAATGTAAGCTT